CCCCAAAACCCCAAAACCCCAAAACCCCTTTAAACATGGCCAATATGGAAAGTGTTCATAGTTTTTAAGGTTTAGGGTTGTCATAAATCTTGACAATCTCCTTCCCGCAGAAGTTTGGTTCTTCTTCTTCCTCAGTTCCTTTCTTAGGCTTCACCAGGTTCTTAGACCTACGTCTTTTGGGTTTCTCAAGCTTATACTCGCAACGTCTTGTGTGAATAGTCAAAGAGTCTTCAGGGATTATGTATTTAATTGTGTTGTACATAGGATTTGCCTTTGACAGATCTGCTATTTCTTGCTTGAAGTCAAGAAAGCAGCTCCTGCAAACTGCTATGTTATCTTCTTCCGGGACTCCGAATATGTCTACTGGGCGACCTGACAAAGCAGTTGGGACTTTGTTTAAATACGTGGCAGATATCATTACATCGCATAGGGGAAGACGCAATTGAGTGCTAAGGAACAATTAGGATCAGTAGGAAAGAAAGGAAATTTTATGCTGCAATCGTGTGTTTTGCTAAAATACAAGAAAGATAAATACTTCCAAGCAGGAGAAATATTATCATCAGTAAAGATAGGAAATAGGGTGCTACCAATGAATGCTTACACGAAGTAACCCCATACCTAAGCACGCATTAACTTTCTTCCCAGTCAAAAATCCCAATTTTCCACTTAAAATTTCCAAAATTTCCAAAATTTCCAAAATTTCCTTCACAAAATCCTAAAACTCTGCTGACTTACAATGAGATTTTACATATAGCACAAAGAGTGGGGTTTTGGGTGGCTTCAGGAAGAGATCTGACTGGGAAGGGGGGTTTAAGTGAGCCTAGAAGGAAGAGGGGAGGGTACCTTTGGAGTGGAGGTTTTGGGCTGTGGGGGTGCGGTTTAGAGGTGTTTGGGGGGTTGTAGGGGGTGTGCGGGATGGGCTGATTGAGGGTGCTGTTGGGGTGTCTGGGGTCATTGTGAGGTCGTTTTGGGCATTAGAGGTGGTTGAGTCAGCGGAAGGAGGTGATGTTTTATCCTGGAGAGCTGAGGTATTATCTTCCTCATCAGAAGTATCTGCTTCAAGAATATAAAATTCTTTTGTTTTAGGGATATACATGAAGCATTTAGAATCTAAAACTTTTACTAGAGCATTAAGTCTATGTTTCACATTTATGGCTCAAAATGTAACGATTCGACAAGAATTTGGTTGGCATGGAAGATTAATTTTAAAATATTCTGCTGCACTTTTTAACAATTCTGGTGAATATTTTCCTCTCTAAAAATCAACAAAATTCAGTACAAGCCAAGGCACCTCATGCACACATTTCTAAAAATTAGGTAGGAAAGATTACTATTATGTTTTTACATTTCCTATTAACTTTTTCCTCGATTTCATCATCTAAATTGTGTATTAAGGACAAATAAAATTCTGATGACTGCAATAGTTTCTAATTTAAGTATCCAAAGACATCATAGCTGAAACTTACCTTTGTCATCTAATAAGGTAGATAGTTGCGATGAATGCTTATTATCCTCAGAAATTCCTTCTTTAACTGTTGCGCACTCCTCTACAAATCAGGCTAATGCTCACCTTTCAAGGAGGATATTTCTTGTGCCATTACTACCAACGGCTACATAGTTAGCCTAGTTTGACATACCTCATAATCTTCATAATTTTCACTCCCATTTTGAGACATGATGATAGAGGAAGCCAAACTTTTAGCTTCTAAGTACGATTAAGGACTGAAGCTTGCCTGATTCTTGTAGAAAGAAGTCTTCAATGCTAAAGCTTAGTCAGAGTGAAAACAGAGCCAGCTACTTACGAGGTTCCAGTAATTGATTCGACTTGTTCGACTAGAAATTAGGGGAAACCATTACTCTTTTCCTTGAGTGATGCAGCCTCTTCTCTAAATTATAGTCTGAATGACCTACATTAAAAATGGGAGATAGGTTCCGTTGTTTATTCTTTCCAGGTATTTAGCAATATCTTTAGCAATGTACTTCTCTTGGAAAGATTTCATTTGATAATAGTTGCCTATCATTAATTTCTACACTTACAGCATTGTCTCAACCTGAAGCTGGTCATGAAGAAGAACTCCTACAAAAGTATGAAGACACGAATAAAAAATGGGAAGGAATAAGTAGGGCTAACTTACTCAGACACAGTTGTATAGCACGCCATAATTCTCTAAAATATCTCTATTGAGTTTCTCTCAATCATCCAATAGTTTCTGGTATGGTTCCTCCCAGGAATCTTTTGAAAAGAAGATGCAGTTAGGGTTTCCACATCCAAGCACTAGAAGTACAATCAAATTTTAAACTCCCAATAGCTTTGCCCTTCATTAGATACATTTTCTCTATTGATTTATGGCAGGAAATCCCAGTTAGGAACCTTGCAATTCTTGAAAAGAATATGGAAGAGCATATTTTAAGAGTATTTTTTCAGTAAAATTCTTAAAGTAATGGTATAGTTTAAAAATTGTAATACTTGTGCAATCAAATTTCGCTTATAGTTAAATTTTGACTAAAAACGTTCAACATACTTGCAATAGTGATCAGATATGGACAAAATAACAAATGGATCTTTTCTGTAATTTCAGGTTTACTAAAAATCATACATCTACTATAAAGCGAATAAATAATTATGCTAAAAGCTACTGGACTGTTTGAAGCAAATCTCCTAGAAATAGCTGATCAGTGAATATATGGAGTAACCATGTCTAATGTAGATCATGTCCAAATATATCTTAAATAAGCATTCAGATACATCTTATCACTTCCACAGAAGCATTAATTATTTAGATATTTCGTAGAATCAGAGAGCAAGCCAACCTTAATGACACCAGAGAGAAAGATCCCTAAGTGGAGTATTCTGCAATTTCTAATAGTTTTAGAGGAAAAGAGATTGCCTTTAGAAAAATTTATAGGGATCTCTGCTTCTAAACAAAGTCCAGCCAGGATTAAGAAAGCTATTGAAATACTTCCTCAAAAGTAATCAGATACTATATCAAACCCAAGAAGAATGGACAAGCGAATAGTAACGATCAGGCTTCTTCAGAAGCAACCAACCCACAAATCATTCCACTTGCCAATTTTCCAAAGCCAGACCAACGAAGAACTTGACATGAGCTGAGCAGAAGGAGCATTTACCATTAGAAATACTCGGAATCTTCCAAATAATATTTATTTATTGAAACCATGCTTCTTGGTCAGGCCAAAAGTCTTCAAGAAGCTGTAAAATGGCTAAGGATTTCTATGGAGACTCTCAAAATATCAATTGATAGATATTTCAGAGTACTTGCATCAAACAAGACAACTATTTCAAAGAATATGATGCTAAAGCCAGAAGACTTCTCAGGTTGAAGGAGGTATGTCAAGAGTTTGTAGCTAAAGGAAAGAGAAGATGTGGTGCGATTAGAAGTCTGCAAGATTATCCTCAGAACGGATCTTCAGATAGGATTTGATAATACATGAGAGAAATTCAACTCTTCTTACTTAAATCTATTTTGTATACACCACCTTCAGTTTTATGTGGGTCAAGTCCGATCATAAAAATTGTGAGACCTCCTTTAGATAGAGTTAAAGAAATGCTTACCTTTTTCTTCCTTTTCAATAACATGACAAATGAGACTGAAATCCTTCATATTATCCGGCTAGATTATAGATGAGATGAATGTGCTTACATCAATTTTTGGGTATTTAGCAATCCCTACTTGGTATTCACTCAATCTGCGCAAGAATGACTTTTGTCTCTCAAAGTAATTCATCTTTAAATTTGCAAATTTGCATGTCCTTGGAAACAAAAGTGGATGTATTATCTCCAGTCACTCAAATTTTACAATCCAACTATATTTTACAATTCAGCTAAATTTTATTACAAAAATATCCGAATCAAACTCATTCAGCCACTCTTAAGGTTGTACTTACTGATTAACTTCAAAAATTCCCTCATTCGGATATTCCCTAAAGAATTACTCTTGTTCCAATCTAGCTCAGAAGCCATTATGCACCACTTACCTATTAAATTCAAACCAGCCTATCGTGATTTCAATATCGTCATGGATTTTTCTTCTAGAATATTAGTGATCGTCCTTGAAAGAAGGTTCTTATGGTAAATTGATTAACTAGTAATATCTAAGTTAATAGTGCTGAATCCAAGGTGTAGACTAAGGTTCTGGCATACAGAAAAGAAGGAAATTTAGCATTAATAAAACACTTTATAAATACCTTCTAATAAATCTTACTAAAATTAGCTTCAAATTACAGATAAAGAGACTGAGGGGAAGAGTTTTAACACTCGTATTACTAAAAACCATTCTGTATTATATATACCTAAAGATCTTCCTAAGAGTCCTGTGGAAAGTTGGAGAAGTAGTGGTCAGAATAAACCGTTCAGTGATTTCAGGCTTAGGAGTAGGAGGCTTAGGATTAGGATTTGAGGGGTGGGATCTGCGAGTGGGATGTACTAGGGGTTTTGGGGTGTGCTTGGGGGTGGTCCTGTGGGTGGGGTTAGAGGGAAGGAGTGGTAGGGGGGATTTTAGGGGGTTAGATGGGATTTTAGAGGGGTTAAGAGAGGAAAATATGAGTGAAATGAGGTGAAGAGAGTTTTAGGATGGGTTTTAGGGGTAAATAAGGTGTTATGAGCTTACAAAAGAGCCTTTCAAACATCGTTTTCATGTGATTTTTCTGGAAATTAGTAAGAAAATACTTAGTGCTGTTTGTCCTGTATCGCCTTGCTTGATGAATTCTAATTCATCTCTCCAGAAGTAAAACTCTATAATAAAGAGTAAATCTTTGGTTGTGAACTAATAAAGCAGAAGCTTGATTTACGACTCAAAGTAGAAGGATCTTTCGGGTCAAAGCATCTTCTAGAGGAAATTTTTGGCTCTTGTTCTCTGTTAAGTCTCCAACCTTCAGATTCATCAGGATTTCTTTGATTCCTTTCTTCCTCCATTCTATCTTTTTCCTTTCGTTCCTCTTCTTTGTCTCTATGTGAATTAAGTCAATATTAATCTGAGGATTTGGAATTTATGGGGGCTGAACTAAAAATTCTGAAAAATTAAAGCTAACTAGATTAAAGAAGCGAATCCAGGGCTGGAATATCTTAAGAACTTTAGCAGTCTATACTGCCTAATGTGTCTATGCATCAGGCTGAAGTGACAGACTTATGTCTTTGAGGTACTTACTTCATCCACTTTTTCAGTTCTTTACATTTCGCAACATGCTTATAAAGGGAAGAGAGCTATACGGTCATATTTTTACCCTACATCTCTTAAATTATGGTTAGCGTTCCCTGGGCAAAAATATAGCTTATCACTTGGGTCAATATCCATTAAATAGCAAAATATTTCAATTTTAAGTAAGAATTTGGGGTTTTGGGGTTTTGGGGTTTTGGGG